ACCTAGACCAGGGGTCCCCAACCTTTTTGACCCTGAAGACACCTTTGAAATTCTAATGCTGGGTGGTGGGCACAACCACAAAATGACTGCCACATTAAGCAGAGCAACCAACACAACACCAGGGACTGAGGACGTGCATAGCTCTAACAGTAAGCCTTCAGCGTTTCAGACAGAAAGGTGGCCTGAATGAACATGCCGTTAGAAACATCTTCTTGCATCCGTACTGGCTTATCTTAAGTCATGCAGTGACGATCCTTGTGATGTGGTGGCAGCTCCTGCAGGAGTGAAGTGCTCTTGAATCTTCATAGCTATTCAGATCTCCAGGGGCTCATGGGATGTCCTCCTTGCCCCCCCCTTTCTAAAAACACTTGGTGGGCACCAGGAAAGGAGTTGGTGGGTGCCATAGTGCCCGTGGGCACCCTACTGGTGGACACCTGACCTAGACGGTATCCCTCCCATTGGTAAAGAACGTAAGGAGAGCCCTGCTGGATCAAACCAATGTTCGCTCTAGTCCAGCATCCTATCTCACACAGGGACCAACCTGTTCCTCTGGGAGGGCCAACAACAGGGCAGAGAGGCCGAGGCCTTCCCCTGAGAAGAACCTCAGAAGAGCCCTGGCTGGATCCGACAAGTGGTCCATCTAGTCCAGCATCCCGTCTCACACAGTGGCCGACCCGTTCCTCTGGAGGACCAACAACAGGGCAGAGAGACCGAGGCCTTCCCCTAAAAAGAATATCAGAATAGTTCTTCACCCAAAGAGTGATGAACACATGGAATTCACTGCCACAGGAAGTGGTGGCGGCTACAAGCATGGACGGCTTTCAAAAGGGAATTGGATAAGCATATGGAGCATTGGTCCCTCAGTGGCTACTAGCCACAAGGTATAGATAGGGGCTCTGGGGCAAGGGATGCTCTGTCATCTTGGTGCTGGGGGGGGGGTCAACAGTGGGAGGGCTTCTAATGTCCTGGCCCCACTGGTGGACCTCCTGATGGCACCTGGTATTTCTGGCCACTGTGTGACACAGAGTGTTGGACTGGATGGGCCTTTGGCCTGATCCAACATTGGCCTCTCTTATGTTCTTATGTTTTAAGTGCCTTGCCGGATCAGACCAGTGGTCCACCGAGTCCAGCATCCTGTCTCACACAGCGGCCAACCAGTTCCTCTAAATGGCCAAAAACAGGGCATAGAGGCCCAGGCCTTCTATTGATAACAACATAAGATGAGCCCTGCTGGATCAGACCAGTGGTTCATCTGGTCCAGCATCCTGTCTCACACAGCGGCCAACCAGTTCCTCTAAATGGCCAAAAACAGGGCATAGAGGCCCAGGCCTTCTATTGATAACAACATAAGATGAGCCCTGCTGGATCAGACCAGTGGTTCATCTGGTCCAGCATCCTGTCTCACACAGCAGCCAACCAGTTCCTCTGGAGGGCCAACAACAGGGTAGAGAGACCGAGTCTTTCCCCGATGTTTCCTCCTGGCTCTGGGATTCAGAGGATTAGTGCCTCTGAATGTCACCCTCAGTCACCAGAGCTAGTAGCCACTGACAGACTGATCCTCCATGAAGCTCTCCAATCCCATTTTAAAGTGTTCTGTGCCTGTGGCCATTATTGTATCATCTGGCTGCGTTGCAGCGAATTCTATATTTTAATCACTCAGTGTGTAAAGTAGTACTTTCTTTGGTGTAAAGTGTATTTCCTATAGTCCCCAGACTATGTGGGGTAGTGATTAGCAGGTAACGGAGGAGAGGATATTTCTCTCCCTTTTTAAAGAATGGGCTACGGTCTTAATCTGACCACTACACCACCCTGCCTTGCCAACTGCGGCACATCAAAGGCAGCCGGTACTGCAGTGTCCTTTCTGTTCCCCTTCCCCATGAGTCCTTCCTGGGGGGCTTTGCCCAACCTTGACTCTGGCTTGCTATTTTGGGCTTTTCTGCATGTCCCTCATGCAAAAAGCTGCTCCTCTCCATTGAATAATAATAATCTTTCAATTTATTGATCGCTCAGTCCTGCAGAGCTTGCTGGCTCTGAGCGATTTAAGGTTACTCATTTTTCAGAAGGGACTAACAATGATTTGTGGGGTAAGGGAGGACAACATATATACATCTTAATTCACACACAATCACAGCCGACGAGGGTTTCCTTCAGTTCAAGATGAGACATGATCCAGATGGCATTTTTCCTCGGCCTGGTTTGATGGCGTCAGCTCTTTCCAGACTCCTTCGAGTTGTAGTGCCGCACTGCCACCGCCTGGCCGGAACAGCCCATTACAGGCTGTCTTTTTATGCCGAGGAGATCTCTCTAGGCTTTCCAATCTTGCGAGCTGGACTTCCCTTCGCCGGCTAACACCGCTCCACCCGAGGGGGGGGGGGTTCAGTGTGCCCACTCTCTCTAAGGAGTGGTACCTATTTTATCTACTCGCCGAAGCTTTCGAACCGCTGGGTAGAGGGCAAGCTGGGGACAGGGCTGGTAGCTCACACCAGCACGGGGCTAGAACTGACAGCAAGCCTGTTCAGCTCTGATGTTACTATTAAAACCAGAGGATAAATCCTCTGTGCCACCGCTCCCCATATGCTTATCCAAAAATCAATTGCCTTCTGGCGATGGGATTCAGAGGCTTAGTGCCTCTGGATGTGGAGGTTCCCCTCAGCCACCATGACTAGTAGCCATTAACAGACTTATCCTCCATGGATCTATCTAATCCCCTTTTAAAGCTGTTTATCGTTGTGGCCATCACAACATCCTCGGACAGCGAATTCCACATTTGGATAATCTGTGTGAAATAGTATTTCCTTTTGTCCGTCCTGAATCTACTGCCCATCAACTTCATTGGATGCCGTTGAGTTCTCACATTTTGGGAGATGGAGAAAAATTTCGCTTTGTCAACTCCCTCCACCCTATGCATAATTTTATAAACCTATATCATGGTCCCCCCTTATTCATCTTTTTTCTAAACCGCAAAGTCCCACAATCTTCAGCCTGTCCTTATAGGGAAGGAGCTCCATACCCCTAATCCTCTCAGCTGTCCTCCTCTGCACTTTTTCCAGCTCTACAATGTCGTTTTGAAGATACGGTGACCAGAACTCTTACAGTGCTCCAAATGAGGCTGCACCATAGATCTATGCAGGGGCATTACAATGTGAACCATTTCATTCTCAGTCCCTTTCCTAATAATCCCAGAGTTTACCTTTTTCACCACGGCAGCACCCTGGCTTGACACTTTCATTGATTTATCCAGCATGACCCCAAGATCTTTTCCCCTCTTGGCCTCAGCAAGGTCAGAACCCATTCGCCTAGAATAGAAGTTAGGATGTTTTGGTCCCAACGTACATCACATTACACTTACCAGCACTGAACTTCATTTGCCACATTGTCACCTGCAGCTGCTGGTGGTGGTGGAGGAGGAGGAGGAGATTGGATTTATACCCCGCCCTTCACTGCCCAAAGGTGTCTCAGAGCGGCTTACAAACTCCTCTCCCTTTCCCTCCCCACAACAGACACCCTCTGAGGTAGGCGGGGCTGAGAGAGCTCATGACAGAAACGGCTCTTTTTCAAGGACAGCTCTTATCAGAACTACGGCTCGCCCAAGGTCATCCAGCCAGGTGCAAGTGGGAGGAGTGGGGAATCAAACCCGGTTCTTCCAGATTAGAGTCCGCACACTTAACTACACCAAACTGGAAGAGGAAGAGGAGGAAGAGGAAGAAGAAGAGATTGGATTTATACCCCACCCTTCACTGCCCAAAGGTGTCTCAGAGCGGCTTATAAACTCCTCTCCCTTCCCCTCCCCACAACAAACACCCTGTGAAGTAGGTGGGGCTGAGAAAGCTCTTGACAGAAACGTCTCTTTTTCAAGGACAGCTCTTATCAGAACTACGGCTTGCCCAAGGCCATCCAGCCAGGTGCAAGTGGAGGAGTGGGGAATCAAACCCGGTTCTCCCAGATTAGAGTCCGCGCACTTAATCCACGACACCAAACCACTACACTTCACAGTCAGCCTTGGTTTCCACCATCCTGAATATTCTGGTGTCATCTGCAAACCTGGCCACTACAATATCCGTCATTTTATTCTCAATCCCTTTCTTAATAAGCCCTAACGTACAGTTTGCCTTTTTCACTGCTGCAGCACACTGTCTTGACACTTTAACCTCAAGATCTTTCTCCCTCTCAGTCTCAGCAAGTTCAGAATCCAATATTTTCAGATTCGGCATTTTATGAAACCAGTGTTTGCAAGGAACTTAAAATGGGGGGAATGGGAAAGAAAGAGGGCAGCCTCACACCCCTAATCAAAAGATGGGGACACATCCTATGGGGAAAGATCCTGTGCCTGCAGGAGATCTTGCTGGATTAGGGTAAAATTCCTTCCATAAACTACTTTATGGGACTTGTCCCAGGATTAGGGATGGGGCAAGTCCTCAGTTGCGTTTACAGAGTGTGTGTCATACAACGATTCTCCAGACAAAGTATTTTCTCAGTCTGAGTTCTTATGAGGAGAAGGGGTGGGGAAGCAGCATTTTAAATAAAGGAAAAATAAGTAACGTAGCATTTTAGCGATGTTTATTAGCCGTCTCCTTGGATAAGGGCAATTCCTCAGATAAGAGCCAGTTTGGCGTAGTGGTGAAGTGCGTGGACTCTAATCTGGGAGAACCGGGTTTGATTCCTCACCCCTCCACTTGCAGCTGCTGGATGACCCTGGGCAAGCCATAGTTCTGACAAGAGCTGTCCTTGAAAAAGAGCAGTTTCTGTCAGAGCTCTCTCAGCCCCGCCTACCTCACAGGGTGTCTGTTGTGGGGAGGGGAAGGGAAAGGAGATTGTAAGCCGCTCTGAGACTCCTTTGGGTAGTGAAGGGCGGAGTATAAATCCAATCTGGATTCTTTCTGGATTCAGAAAGAGAATATAGAGCAGTCTCAAGTGTAGCTTGTCCACAAACCAAAAACAGTCTGTATTAAATCCATCAAAACACACCACAGCCATTTCGTTTTGTCTACAGAGTAAGAGCATTTATTTAAACAATGCCAGGACCGTTACACACAGCTATCAAAGACCATCACACAATTCTTGTCCTGTACTGAGACTGGTATATACACAACACAAAAGTCTGCAGCTTGACAAGATGAAACTAAATTTAATATACACACACCTGACTGGACCCCTAAAGAACGTGTGTGGTGGCTCGTCTCTTCCTTATCACGTTCAACTCCCTCTTGCAGAGTCCCCGTCAACCTTCCTTTTTCTCCTCCTCGTCTGCTTTCTTGTTCATGAACTTCTGCAGAAAAGACACATTCACAACTCTCGTGACAAAGGGAAAAATTTGCTTGCTCACTGAAAAAACTCCTTCTGGGTGGTTCTAGGGCGGGGCAGCCACAACCAATGGGAAGCAGCTCCTCCTCCCTGGAGGCAAGCAAGGTTGCTCATCTTTTCAAGGGTCTTCAGCAAAATGGAAGACTACGGCTCAGTTTGGTTCAATTTTTCAGATGTGGCGTTCGTTCATTCTCTGCAGCAGCAAATGGTTCTAGCATCCAACTGGAAACAACCAGTATCACCACCCAGAAGCGAATGGCTTCATAAAATCTGGAACACGACTTTATTGGTGAAACTGAGGTACTACCAAAGAACAAAAAAGGAGACACTTCCAGAACCCAGAAGAATTTAACAAACACTGGGTGCTGTTTGTTGTGTTTTGGAAAGAGGAAAAATAAGAAAGATAAAAGCTATCCATTGGCTTGCGTATCGTTTGTGGTATTCTGTTTGTGTACTGCTCTGTAGTATAGTGTTTTGTCATTTTGTAAAAAAAAAAAAAAACCTGAAGATTTTTCACAGGTTCTTAGGAACCCCCCTTGGCATCAGTCACGTTATTCCAAAAAAACAAAAAACTCCTTCCACTTTAAGGCAACGGAGACGACTTTTATGCATATCTGTGTCACAGGAGCCCTCCTCCTCGCTCGAGTCCGACAACGAGGCACCCAACTCCACCCTGCTTCCTTCTCCCCTTCGGGTCAGTTGGCTTGAGTCTCAGTCAGCTAGGGAGCAAAGGGGGTTGTTAATGCCACCTCCCTTCTGCAACCGTCTCCTGGGCCGTTGAGCCACCTCGCTCTCTGTCTGGGTCGTGGCCGGCCGTATCCCAGGGCCGTCGTCCTCAACCTCAGCCTCCCTTTATACTTCCCCTGATCCTGCCCCGTCCTCTTGTGGCAGCCCATCGCCTCCCTCCCCTTGCCCTGCCTCCTTTCTTAACCCAGGACGCCGTCCGGGATGCAGGGGCGGTGTCCCAGCAGATGGCTTGCTGACCCTTCGCCCTCCGGTTCCAACGTCTGCCGAGCTTTGGGGGTGTGGATGGCGGCCTCGGCCATGGGGGTGGGCTCTCGTCGTTCGACCTGTACTTGGCACCACCACCCCCTTCTCCTTCCTTGCCACAGGCTCAGGTGCCTGCCGCCGGGGCTGTTTCCTGGCTGTTGCGCCCGGGAGGTGCCCTACTGATTGTGTGGCCCCCACTGCGTCCTCTCCCTGTCGCCTCGGCCTCTTCGGGGGCCTCAGTAAGTACTGGGTGGGCACCGGGGGGGTCTCCTGGGGGGGTCTTGCCGTGCTGCTGGCTGTCCTGGAGCCGAGACACTCTGGAAGTTCAAGTAAGAAAAAATGCATTTTATACACAGACACACACTCCTCAGCACTAACCCAATAAAAAGAGCAACTGCTCTAAATTTGTTTAAAAAGCAAAACATTGTACATTTAAAAATAACAGTTTTGTTATTTCTGTGCTTAAATTGGATAGCATTGGTAAGCTGCCCAAGACTCTGGGTAAACTTTGCAGGCAAAAAGAAGGTTGCACTTACCTATAACTGTTGTTCATCGAGTGCTCTTCTGTGCAGACACACATGGGAACTGCACAGTCGCAGGCCAGCTACGGGAAAGATTTCCAAGCTTTCTAATAGACTAGGAGCGCCCCTCCTCCCTCTGGCACTTTCCCGCCAAAACGCTCACATGACCAGGAGGAGGGGCGCTACTCTCTCAGTTCTCTCCATGCCACCGGTGGAGACCCCCTAGAAAACCAGTTTCAGAGAGCTCACAGCGAGGCAGGAGGGAGGGATGTGTGCCTGCACAGAAGAACACTCGCTGAACAAGAGTTACAGGTAAGTGCAACCTTGTTTTCATCGTCGTGGCCTCTGTGCAGTCCCACATGGGAAGATTAGCAAGATCACTGAGTAAAGGAGGTGGGTGTGAAGCTCTCAGAAGGAGACCACCGAGGACTGCTTTTATCAACAGTTGTTTAGCGGCACAAATTCACCTTCACCCAGAACTCTCCTATACCAGAACAGCAAGCCCTGTGCAAGTGTCCCCACCAAAATACATGTGGGAATGTGGGAAAGAAAGAAAAAAGAGCACTCTTTTGAAAAGAGCCATCATACAGAGTGGTAATGAAAGGCTGTGCACTCAAACACAGTGTGATAGAGTCAACCGACCCACAAGGATGGGTTGTGTGAGGACGCTGACCATGCATTACATGAGAGACCACCCATGGTAGGGGATTCCAGCAGGACATCACCTTTTGAAATTTCATGCATGGACAGGGTATAAGTTAGACCCCTATCATAAATGAAGCACCATGTAAGTGCCAAAAATAAAACAAGGGTTATACCCATCTTTTGTAGCATGCTTAGTAATCCAGCAAGGAAAAGATTAGAGAGGGTTTTTTTTTTTTTAAATCAGGTGCCAAAAACATTCAACAGCATAAGAAGCAGGGTCCAAACCTTGCTGCAGTTTCTATAAAGACTCTCCTCTCAGAGGTGCAAGGTACACGAGTGGTGTTTGCCACTCAGAAAAGTGGGAGGCTACTGCTACAATGCAGGAAAGGAGATGATCAACATATTAATTTGTCAGCAGGAGTGAGAATAAGCAGATCTGCCTGATGGTAACGAAGGCAGTGAAAAGAGGTGTGATGTGGCTGAAGAAAGGATGGACACAATGCGCCACAAGGAAAAAAAAACTTGTGTAGTCTGCAGAGCAACTTGTGCAGCAATATAGGCAGAGAAAAAAGGCATAACAACAAATTGTCAGGGATTATAAGTGCATTTCTCAACAACAAGGTTATTGTCAGGAATAAAGCATAAAGGCGAGGGCCTGGAATGTCATATTGTGGGGCTATGCCAAGTAGCCCAGACCGCCAGTCAGAATACCAGGGAACTGATATCTGCTAATCAGTTAAAACATGATTGCAGTGCCTCCTTTAACTCTGTGGAGCGTTTGCACTAAAACCAGAGACAAAGTAAATATGCCCATCATGTCAAGGTAAAGTAATGTCAAGACAATTAATATTGCAGAACACCAGGAGTTACTGGGAAAGGTTCCCACAGATAGTGAAGGAGCCATCAGAGATGGCACTGCTTCTAGAAGATCATGGACAAAAGAAATGTTGTGAGAGAAAGGACTGTGCTGAGACCAGAAAGAAAACTAAGTCCAGGCATCCCGTGAAGGGTAAAAGACACAGCAAAACAACAGTCTTATTTATGGTGTCACATATAGATATGTAAAAATGCTAGGAAATGCGGCAGTGAAAGCTAAACAGAGCTTACAATCTTAGTAGGTTTCTATATATAGGAAAAGGGGGGGGGGGGGGGATTCAGGCGGGTTGCTTTGAAAAGGATCAATAAGATCTGTCAAACTGGCAGGGAAAATTGACACAGGTGCACACAGAATTGCAGGATGCCTGGTGGACAAAACAGCAGAGGTGAAAGGATCTCGATCACCAGAGACTTTGTCAGTAGGAGACACCAAGGATGGAACTTGGCTTCTTGTACATGGACAAAAGGTATGCAGAACCCTGAGACATCATGTTAAGTGAAGGCGGGAAAGAAACGTGACTCGCGGATTCGACAACAAGCCTGTTATTGCCTCCAGAATGTTGTGCGACTGGACAGCAGAATTCACATCCTCGGCGAGGAGGTAAGTTACTTTAATGCTTTGTTTTGTTCTGTTTTTCGCTTGCTTATTTTGTTTATATTATCTCCTAGCATGGACTAGGGTAAGGTCACATGAGTGATCCAAATTAAAGGGACAGATTTATCATGTAGATCACCAGCATAGGCCGTGAGCCACAGTGCATTAAGATACGTTAAAACAGAATAGTATAGAGGTCATAGTGACCTGCTGATTTATAAACTAATGGGGAAGTGTTGTATAGCAAGGAGAAGAAACAAACTGCATCCCAACTGGGTTTATTTTAGATCATTAATACTACTTGTGTTCACTATCTTTATGACAGATGACTTGCTGTGCCTGATACTGAAAAGACCTGTTGATCTATTCCACTGTTAGCCCACCCATTCTCCAAAGGAGATCAGGGTGGCACAGGCTGCTCTCCCTCAAGACCAAGACAAATGTGTCCCTAACACGCCGTGGATCAGGACAAGTGTGCATTGTTTGAAACAGCTGCCCACAGGAACAAGATGCTAATTGCGGTCCTTTGTCAGGGCAAACAGAACCCAACTGAACAAGGCTGCTTCTGCACTAGAATCGGCAAGCTGGCTAACGGGGCCCATCTACATCCCTTCGAAAGGGATTTCTATGGCAATTTCAACCAGGAAATAGCTCAAGACCGAGGCACATTTGGTAGGAAACCCAGAGCCGTCCCTTCCTCACAAAGCAGCAGTAGAAAAAGCCTTGTCCCCTTCCCACCTCAGAAAGGGAAGGAGGACAGCGAGAGAGGAATCTCTCCTCCCACATTCTTTCTGGAGATAAGAGCCCCAGCAGCTCATGCTACTGCTCTAGCGAACACAGTGTGTAACTCCAGCAAGACAGAGAGCTCAGAACAAATCCCGAGACTGCCACAGAGTCTGCCAGACAGAAGAAGGGAACCGTTGACGGACAGCTTGGCGACGGCCTCCTGGTTCAGCAACAAGCCACACAGCTGGTCTTGCACTGACTGCAGCGTGTGTCAATTCAAGGCCTCGGCTGTGGTGCCCAGCTCTCGCCTAGCAAGGACAGACCCCCAAAAGTGACCTACTGGGACTCCACCAGCCTCCAAATGCTGAATGGCTTTGGGAGACCCTCTATCTAGTGATTTTATCTAGTTTTCCCAGTTCAAGATGGGTTAGTCTGTCTGTAGCAGTAGAGAAGAGCAAGAAAAGAGCTCCTCCCCGGCCACAAATGTTGTGAGTCTTTAAGGTGCTCCTGGACTCTTGCTCTTTTCCACAGTGGAGTTCAATAGCTGCCAGCAGCTCTTGAGGTGGAACTGACACACCTGCCCAGTGGCTCCTACCTTTCTCAGGCTTCTCAGAAGACTGCGAGGGGGTCACCTCACTGCAGCTCTCCTCCTTGCCTCCTGGATCCTGGCCGAGCCGTTCGGATCTTGCCTCCGGATCCTCACCCCCTGCAGTCTGGCGGCCTCCAACAGAAACCTCCTGGGCTGGAGCAGCCGTCACAACATCTCCCGTTTGCTCCGTGGGAGTCGCAAATTCTGGGCATCCCTCAACATCCATTTCTGTTGCTTTGGCCTCCACATCCTCCTCAGGGCTTTCCATCTCTGTTTCCACAGAAATATGACAGCTCAGTTAATTGCTTCCTAGGTGTCAGTTTTACCTATATCGTTGAATGATTTTTGATTATTTAAAATACATCATTAAAAAGACACTCTGTCATACTGTTATGATCTGTGTAGGACTGGGAGACAAGGCCTAGTGAGGCCTAGGAGACCTGTGTGGGAGTAGAAAGCAGACAGCCTACAATCCCCACAATGCTTAGCGATGGTTGTAACCAATCGGTGTCCAGGGTTTGTGTGAGGAGATGTCACATATAGTTTGGGGGCTGTGGAACTGTGTTCTTTCTCTTCTGCGTTCTTTTTCTCTCACAGAACTAAGCTGAGAGAACAGTCTGGTCTGAGAGAAAGATCTCTCACTTGGGACAGAGTGAATACAGGCACAGGCCTGGTATAAAAGGCTGTGGGCCTTGAATAGTAACCAGTTAAGTGAAATAGGTAGCCACATTAGATTTGTTTTATTTTACCTTTAGACACTGTTAAATATTTTAAAGCACCTTGTCTTGTTTTCCTTGCCCCATTACTGTATTAATAAACCATTTGTTTAATGTTCTCTGCCTGGTCATCACGCCTATATTTCTCGGCTTAATAGGGGCATTTGGGTTGAGCTTCGGAGGGTACTCTGGGCCTTCCCAAGGGACCCTAAGTCCAGAGTGATGGCAGAGGAAGGTGGAAACCCACTAGGGGTCATGACACATACTCTAGTCAGTTTCAAACACTGGCAGCATTAAGTACTTAAAATGTTCATTACACAAAGATTAGTCTACAAACGACGTTAAGATTAACAGTCTTTTCTTTTGCATGTTCCGGCTCATCAGCAGAGATGTAAAAACTGAAAAAGCCCCGAGACTGGAAACATTGAAAAAAATTAACTGAAAACCCACCGTTAAATGTCTACGATGCACAACTTGGGACAGATGTGACTGGGAGAGCACAAATGTGATACTATGCAGGATGCAGTCCCTGAGGCACAGAGTCTGAACTGGGTCTTTCTAGACCTTGTAACGGCTCCTGTTAGACATTTCATGCCCATTAGGTGATCGCTGGACACACTGTTTGTGGAGAGGGATGTCACCGTTCATGAGGCAGGAGCTTTAAACGGGATGACTGCCACACTGCTCACATCCGCTACCCACATCTTTCTAGTTCTGAGCTATGTCTTCTCATTTATACAAGTGGAAAGTGATGTACAGAAAGACATTCCTGCAGTGGTCGGCTACAGGGACGGCATTTACAGGCCATGCTTAGAACTCAGAATTATTCTAGACGCCCCCAGGAAGGGATGAGGGGCTCCCGATGGTCTGCTCCTCTCACATCAGCCTCTGTGTTCAGTGCTAGCTGGGGAATCCAAACAGGTTTCAGGGGCAGCCAGTACAGAGAACAGGGTGAAGGGAAAGGACTGAGGACTAAGGTTACAACTGCAAACAAGGTACTGCAAACAGGTAACAACAACATACATATCTTTGCACTGGTAACCCACATCTTACCAGAAGGCTGCTGACGGTCCTCCATATCGCTTCCCTGGTTGTCTGGCTGCTCTGTCAGTTTCGAGGTCGATTCTGCAATACAAAGACACACAACTCACTCTTATGGCTTGGCTCACAGAACTTTCACCTCATCCTCAAACGGCTGAGACCAATCCATTGCCTACCTGCTACAGGTGGCGCCAACTGTGCTTCCACTTCAGTCTCTTCCTTTAGGGTTTCTTCCAAATCTTCCCCTCCTTCATCCTTCTCAGTTTCTACTAAGGTAGTTTCCTGCGTATCTATTTCTGCAGCAACACTCTCCTTTTCCGCAACTTCCATCTGAGCCTCAGATGCCTTCTTTTCCTCAGGAAGATTCTCCCCAGGACACACTTTCTCTCCTGGTGAGGCATCGTCTAGAATTACAGTTTCTTCCTGCTTGGCAGCCCACGGTAAACCCTCCGTTGTTTCAGCAACTGCAGTTGCAGTCTCTGTTTCTGGGACTGTTTTGACAACCACCTCCACCATATCTGTGCTTGTAACGGTGACCTTTTCTTCCTCCTCATCCTTACTGCCAATTCCATCAACAGTAACAAAGTTAAGCTCTCCTTCCGGGAAGTCATCGTCTGCTTCAGTCACTTCATCCAAAGTCACCAGAGGCTGATAGTCGTTGTCCTCGTCGATCTCACCCACTGTAACTGAAGTGCTTGGGTCTTCGGGCACCTGGGAGGAAAGGAAATCGCCAGGGTCTTCAAGCACCTCCTTTTCTTCTCGCCTGTCACTGAAGGTCTCGGTCTCAAAATGCAAAGGCTCGTTCAGACGTAGCTCTTCTAGTTCTCCAATTTCATTCCCCGTTACTAAGGGTTCTGTTTTAAGGGCTGGCTCTCTGTCTGCTTCTTTCAAGGTCTCCTGAGCGGCAGGGTCTTCTTGCTCAGAGGTCTCATCAAAAGTAACAAGTGCCTGTGGATCCCGGGCCACTTTGGAGATGAGTTCTTCATCGTCATTCACTTTGTCAACGGTGACCAACACCTGGGGATCTGGCACGGCTTCCAGGGGATCTGGCACAGCTTCTAGATGTTCTGCTGCTTGGGCCATCCCCCCTTCGTCCTCTCCAATCTCGTCCAACGTATCGAAGGACAGCTCCTGCTCAGCAGCTCCGTGAGCAACAGAGGTCTTGCCCTTCCTTCTCTTGGAGCTGGGCCTATGGGCAGCACCCTTCCTCTTACCCCTTGGAGGGTTCCTTTTAGGCTGGGAGGGAGAGTCCACTTCATCTGTAACTTCATCCACAGGAACAAACTCATCCAAGTTAAATGGGAAAAGCTCTTCTTCCTACAAAACATTAAACAATTAAGAAAACAGTCTCTCAGTGAACAGGAGCAGCTTTCTGGATGTCAGCAGACCTTAAGGGGCAGCCACCCTGATCTCACACCATGGAGAGATAAAGGCAGGAGCGGAGACAAAACTGCCTTGGGCCTCTAAGAAATTAATCAAGCTGCACCCTGTAATAACACTTCCATTACCAACATGACCTAGGCTCACATCTGCATTATTAGCTAAACACGCTCTCTCTCTCTCTCTCTCTCTCTCTCTCTCTCTCTCTCTCTCTCTCTCTCTCACACACACACACACACACACACACACACACACACACACTCCCATAGACCCGGGATGTTTTATCGTGTAAGCCGCCCTGAGCCTGTTTAGGCGGAGAGGGTGGGGTACAAAGTTGAAGAAATAAATAAATAAATAGAGGGGGGGAAACCCAAAAATGACAGGAACCACCACCACCCCCGTTACTTTTTTCCCTGTGGAAAAACTGGAAATTTGAGGGAGCAGTGAAACAAACTCTGACATCCTCCTCCCGTTTTCCAGAATGAGTGCAACACTTTTTTTAAAAGTCTATGGTCACTCCAGATGTGTGGTATGAAAATGTTCACACAGGACTGCCCGCAACATTACTGAACAGCGATCATCCCTTGAAATCAAGAGAGCACACCCGTTCACTCACCAAGATGCCTCCCTCTTCCTCCAAGCCCGCAACAAAGGAATCTTATGTCTATCGTTCAAGTCAAAGTCCTACAGCTGCAGCCATAATCCACCTCCAAAACACATTTCTGATCTGCTCCAAACCCTGAATGTTGGCGTAGCACCTCAAGTCCCTGTCTGCCTTCTCACCCCACCCCAGATTTGCAATCTTAGATTCCTGGCCAGAGGACTGGCGCCCCTGAACGTTTGTACTGCTGCTCGGAGATGCAGCAACAAGCCTCTCCTTCTGCTCTACTCCTTTGTAGCCCCACGCTCCCTTCTTGAGTGATATAAGCTGCACAGAGTACATATGAAGCGCTGAAGTCTTTGCATCTTAACAGGGGCGTCCTAGCTGAATGCCTGATAGCACCGCAACCACTTAAGCTTGTGGGGCGTTCTCAGGAAAGCTCGCTCTTATTTCACCGTTTTCCAGGTCTCGGTGCTTCTTTAACATCTGATTAGGAGCCCTGTCGCTCTGATTATCATGCAACCTTGCTGGGAACAAAAATTAAGCCAGCAACGCCTTCATAACAGGAATGATGGGGGTGGAAGGAAGGATTCATCGTGATGGTCATTACTGCCCAGAGTGAATCTGGACCACACCGAAAAAACCAATCTCACTCACACAGGCATACATCTGGGACACCGGTGTCTTCCCGATCACACCCTGTTCTACTAGGTACTTCCAGACCACAAATACTGTAATGCAGTGACTCTATTCCTCCACACACATCTAATCCACATCAGAGGGAACACAAACTACCTGCTCCTTGTAAGAGTAAAGGAAGCTCTGTTCTCTGTCCTAGAATGCCTTGAAAAAGAAACCTGCTAAGAGCTGTAAGTTGAAAGTTGCAGGGCTATCGACATAGTTGCTTCCTTACCTCTTTTGGGCTTGTGCCATTGTTAGAACTTCTAGTATTTCTCCCAGCAAAAACCTGAAAAAGCAGAAAAAGCAAAAACAAACAAACATGAGTCAAACAATTGTCTTCCAAGAGCTCCAAGACATAATTTTTGCCTTTAAACTGAGATGACACTGATCACATTGCTAAGCAAGTTGAAACCATGCCAACCGCTGCTTAGATCCGGGAACTCCGTCCACCAGCTACACTGCACACACCATTTCTTCTCCGCGTGGCCAGTTAGTGCAGCGGGGCATTTTAGGATTCAGCACTGGAAGGATCACCTCACAACGAGGAGACAGAACACAAACATGACTTGCCTATTCAACCCATCCAGCTACCTGTACAAGATGCTTCAGAAGTCTGCCATGGAAAACCGTCTCTAATGCATTCCCCTGGTGCCAGTGTGGTTTGCTAAGTGAAACATTGTACAGGAAGGGGGAAAGGGACAGGGAAACAGGCTATCGACCACAGCTCTGCTTCACAGTCTGGAAGAAGCGCCAGCATTAGTTATCAGCCAGTCATGAGCCTCTTGCTCTTGGGTCTGCTTTGAGCTACCCTTAGTTTCCACTTGGGAGTCCTGTTCTTGCTGTGATGAGCTCTTCCTCAGTTTAGATTTGCTATCTGGCAGGTTTGACCTGCTGTTCGTCGGTCTCTGGTGACTCGCTTCTTTTGGCACGGGTTTCTTCTCGGCAACTGTGCGGCTCCTGGTTCCTGGCCTTACGGAGGGCTTCTGCTCCTCCTTCCTTCGTGTCACAGTTCTTTTCTTTGATATATTTGGAACAGACATCAAAGCCTTTAAGATGGTTTTACTGACGGAGGTAGCTTCTGCACTGGGTGCCAATTCCGTAGCAAACACTTCAGCTTTACTAGATTCCGCGGGCCGGTCTTGTCCCATTTCCTTTCTCGGCTGTGACTTGGGCAAACTTTGCTCACGACTTCTGTTATCTGCCTTCTTTCCAAGCTTCTCCTCCTGGGTTGACCTGTCCGTTGATATCAACACTTCAGGCTGCTTCTCTGAGGCTGCCTCCACCTTGCCCGTCTGTAGTTCCGGCTTCCCCTTGGCAGGTTCCGTAGTCTCAAGCACAGTCGTCTCAGGTTCCACCTCCATGCTGCCTTCCACTGCAGACGAGGGAGTCTCAGGCTCCTTCTCTGCCCCCGCCCCCACCTCAGAGGCAGACCTTTCAGGGAGGTTTCTCGATGTGTCGGTATGATCTGTTCCTGGAGGTACCAGCTTGGTGTTTGATTGGAGGTCTTCCCCTGACAGTTCCTCCACTGGAGCTTCTGCAGAGCCCGGGAGTACTGTCTCACAGATGGCAGGAGCTGTCTCTGCTCCTTGCTCTGTCTTGGCAGGATCCGCGCCTATCCCTCCTGTTTTGGCTGGGCCCTTCAACTCTTCTGAGAGCTCACCAGCAGGGTCCGCTAATTCTTGATCTTTGTCCCTTGCCGTGGAGGTCGATGCACTTCCCAGCAATTCAGCATCAGCCTTATCTGGAACCTTTTCTTCCTTTCCGAGGCTGGCCTCCTGTTTTGGCTGGGCCCTTCAACTCTTCTGAGAGCTCACCAGCAGGGTCCGCTAATTCTTGATCTTTGTCCCTTGCCGTGGAGGTCGATGCACTTCCCAGCAATTCAGCATCAGCCTTATCTGGAACCTTTTCTTCCTTTCCGAGGCTGGACGACGAAGCAGAGACTTGTTCAGCTTTTACTTCAGACGGACTCAAGTCAACTGGCTTGGTAGTCAATGCTGCCAACTTGCCTTCCGAAGTTACAGTCTTTGATGGCTTTGACGGAGCTTCACATTCCATCTTCTCCGAAGGTTCATTCTTCACTTCTGCTGCTACAACCTTAGAACTGGGCTCCTCCTTGGCCTCAGTGGGCTTTGCTGAAGGAATGGAAGCCGCGTGCACCAATCCTGCTCCTTTGGGATTTTTTTCCAAGTCAGGGCTAAACGTATTTAAAAAAACAGAAGAAATCAAGCTACGTTATTTATTTATTACATTTTTACCCCGCCCACAGTAATACATAACCTCTTGATGCCAATGGTTGGGATTTCCTGATGCATTAGAGCACAGCATTGGGAAATCTAACCTATCAGCTAAATGAATTTTAACATGGGGCCAAACGCCAATTTACATACCTGACTAAGCCACTTCAGCATGATTTCAGCACATGATTTGAGATATGATTTCTTTGAAGGCGATGCTCTTTAATAAGTATGTGTGCCCTATGGACCCTGGAGCAGCCAGGGTGTTCTTAAACGTACGACTGTAAGAAGCCGTACTGCACATACACACAGAGAAAGAGCCACCTTCCTCTAGTCCCTGCCTTGGAAACAGGGGCACTTAATAGGCTGCTTCCCATATACCTGAAATGAACCAGGGGTACAACCACGGGAAGCGGAAATATCCATACAGACACACGCACTAGCAGCAGTGTTCCCTCTAAGCTGAGTTAGTGTGAGCTAGCTCACAGTTGTTTAGCTTCCGACACACACATTTTTGTCTTTGCTCAGGAAGGATGGCTCCAGAACAAACTAATTGATGCAGTAGCCAAATCGCTCGCTCACAACTTTAATGCCAGTAGCTCACCAAGTAGAATTTTTGCTCAGATGACTCCACAGCTTAGAGGGAACATTGACTAGCAGAGCCTTTGTTCCCAAAAGTGACTGTTTTTCAGCCTTCGGAAAGCTCCCAAGGCAGTATCAGTCAACTACTACAGTACTTCAAGGAAGTTCCACTTACAGGCAAGAAGGTGATTAAAAACGTAAAAGCAGGTTTTTAAAAAAAAATCAAACAGAGGGTCCCTCTAGCCCAAGATCCTGTTTCCAAACAGTGGCTATAAGCAGGCCATGAAGGGAATAACCCTTCATAATCATCTATATGGAAGATGGTAAATTCTTTCAAAGCTGGGGATGTGATCCCCAGCCCAGGAAAGGATGCTGAGATGTCAATAGTTCCAAGACAGTAAAAACTCGGCAATACACAAGAGTTGCGCAAGTATGAAAGTGACGAGGGTTTGTTTTGCTGGCAACAGTCCTGCCCACAATTAAAGCAGCTGTCTAAGATGTTTTTTAAAAAGTGGGTCGGAGGCATACGAGTGTTAAAGTCTCTGCCTGTCTTCGTTCAATGAACAATGAGACTGGTTGGCCATGTCTTCTCACTGCAATGTCCAGCTAAAGCCAGAAAACATGCAGAAGGGTGATGGTCTCTTAGTCGAACATAAAACGGTCTGAATTCCACAACCAGCAAGGGAGATGAATGTAATGAAGACATAACATGAAACTAGAGGACAACCGTTTGGCCTCCACTTTAATGAACCAGAATGACCACACTCTGAAACGCTTGCACAGTTCACTAAACTGAACCAAATAATTAAAATCTCTTCACTTTGAAGCAAAAATAAAAGCACTTAGGATCTTCTGACTGCAATACTGATAATACAGTTACAAAACTCAAGGAGAATGAAGCTCCTCCCCTCCTTCCTCCGGAAAGAATGCTGTATAGGATTTAGCACATCTCGGTACTGACAGCCATACAAGGAACTGGAATCCAAGGGTCAAGATCACAATATTCTTGACTACAATCAGTTGTCAATCTGTATGCATTCTCTTTGAGACGCACAACACAGGGGCCTCTTTTCGGGCAGATGTGAACAGGCAAGTCCCCAAATTTAGCCCTATCTATAAATGGTGGGGCTTGACCAGGACGGCCCAGGCTAGCTGCTCTCATCAGGTCTCAGAAGCTAAGAAATCAGCCCTGATCAGTCCTTGGATGGGAGACCGCACCAAGGGAGTCCAGGGCCGCTACCCAGAGGCAGCCAATGGCAAACCACCTCTGAGCATCTCTTGCCTTGAAAACCCTACGGGGTGGCTGTTAAGTCAGGTGCAACTTGACGGCCCTTTCCACCGCCACAAAGAGCGGACGATGGTCAGAGATTATTCTGTGTGCCCTAGCAAACTGAAGAGCCTGGCTTTCCAGGAGGGAAGATGGTAAGTGATCCAACATGAACAGGAAATGCTCTTCAAGGTGACACAGTGCATGAGTTGAGAAATGCCTTCTGACCAGCAGATGCAATACACACACTGAACTCAACTGATCCAGGTGGGTAGCATGTTGGTCTGAAGCAGCAGAACAAAGTTTGAGTCCAGTGGGACCTTTAAGACCAACAAAGTTTTATTCAGAGTGCAAGCTTTCGTGTGCCAGTCCATTTATGTAGGTACAGGGTTAGCAGTAAGTTTATTTTATTTTATTTTATATTTATATTATACTTATTTTTATATGTTTATAAAATAAAATTATTTTATATTTTTATATTTATTATATATTTATTTATTTATTATTTGGAATAACAGATTAGAACAGTAGACTGTGATGCAATGTGGAGAGGTAAATCGGAATGTATTTCTCTGGTCTGGGGAGAGGGGAGATAACTTTACACAGCCAATCACCCCATTTCAGAGAAGAAGGTGCTGTAAGGTCCTCTCCGCGCTTGAGAGGAGGTGGATGGAGCGTCATGACAGGGTCCCAGCTAACTACTCCCAGCATTCCACCATTAAGGACTCATCTGCCCACCCATCTCCAGGTCTGACATATTTCCTTCACTATCCCCCCCCCCCCCCCCCGACAAAACCCCAAA